GTACCCCTGGCAATGTATGTACCTTTTCATGATAGGGTTTCCCCGCGGCTTCGCTCACATTTATATCTTAAATATATGTCAAATCTTATCGACGACCTTATCAAACTAATTCTTCTATCCCTCAGGAACAGTATTTGTTTCTGGATAAAAAGTACCCCATGTCTCTTCCCTGTACCCCTGGCAATGTATGTACCAAATTTCATGATAGGTTTTACCCACGGCTTCGCTCTCGTTGATGTCCCAAATTCGTATCAAAAATCATCGACGACTACATAAAGCTAATTTTTTCTATCCCTCGGGAACAGTATTTGTTTCTGTATAAAAAGCACCCTACGTCTCTTTCTGTACCCCTGGCAATGTATGTACCTTTTCATGATAGGGTTTCCCCGCGGCTTCGCTCACATTTATATCTTAAATATATGTCAAATCTTATCGACGACCTTATCAAACTAATTCTTCTATCCCTCAGGAACAGTATTTGTTTCTGGATAAAAAGTACCCCATGTCTCTTCCCTGTACCCCTGGCAATGTATGTACCAAATTTCATGATAGGTTTTACCCACGGCTTCGCTCTCGTTGATGTCCCAAATTCGTATCAAAAATCATCGACGACTACATAAAGCTAATTTTTTCTATCCCTCGGGAACAGTATTTGTTTCTGTATAAAAAGCACCCTACGTCTCTTTCTGTACCCCTGGCAATGTATGTACCTTTTCATGATAGGGTTTCCCCGCGGCTTCGCTCACATTTATATCTTAAATATATGTCAAATCTTATCGACGACCTTATCAAACTAATTCTTCTATCCCTCAGGAACAGTATTTGTTTCTGGATAAAAAGTACCCCATGTCTCTTCCCTGTACCCCTGGCAATGTATGTACCAAATTTCATGATAGGTTTTACCCACGGCTTCGCTCTCGTTGATGTCCCAAATTCGTATCAAAAATCATCGACGACTACATAAAGCTAATTTTTTCTATCCCTCGGGAACAGTATTTGTTTCTGTATAAAAAGCACCCTACGTCTCTTTCTGTACCCCTGGCAATGTATGTACCTTTTCATGATAGGGTTTCCCCGCGGCTTCGCTCACATTTATATCTTAAATATATGTCAAATCTTATCGACGACCTTATCAAACTAATTCTTCTATCCCTCAGGAACAGTATTTGTTTCTGGATAAAAAGTACCCCATGTCTCTTCCCTGTACCCCTGGCAATGTATGTACCAAATTTCATGATAGGTTTTACCCACGGCTTCGCTCTCGTTGATGTCCCAAATTCGTATCAAAAATCATCGACGACTACATAAAGCTAATTTTTTCTATCCCTCGGGAACAGTATTTGTTTCTGTATAAAAAGCACCCTACGTCTCTTTCTGTACCCCTGGCAATGTATGTACCTTTTCATGATAGGGTTTCCCCGCGGCTTCGCTCACATTTATATCTTAAATATATGTCAAATCTTATCGACGACCTTATCAAACTAATTCTTCTATCCCTCAGGAACAGTATTTGTTTCTGGATAAAAAGTACCCCATGTCTCTTCCCTGTACCCCTGGCAATGTATGTACCAAATTTCATGATAGGTTTTACCCACGGCTTCGCTCTCGTTGATGTCCCAAATTCGTATCAAAAATCATCGACGACTACATAAAGCTAATTTTTTCTATCCCTCGGGAACAGTATTTGTTTCTGTATAAAAAGCACCCTACGTCTCTTTCTGTACCCCTGGCAATGTATGTACCTTTTCATGATAGGGTTTCCCCGCGGCTTCGCTCACATTTATATCTTAAATATATGTCAAATCTTATCGACGACCTTATCAAACTAATTCTTCTATCCCTCAGGAACAGTATTTGTTTCTGGATAAAAAGTACCCCATGTCTCTTCCCTGTACCCCTGGCAATGTATGTACCAAATTTCATGATAGGTTTTACCCACGGCTTCGCTCTCGTTGATGTCCCAAATTCGTATCAAAAATCATCGACGACTACATAAAGCTAATTTTTTCTATCCCTCGGGAACAGTATTTGTTTCTGTATAAAAAGCACCCTACGTCTCTTTCTGTACCCCTGGCAATGTATGTACCTTTTCATGATAGGGTTTCCCCGCGGCTTCGCTCACATTTATATCTTAAATATATGTCAAATCTTATCGACGACCTTATCAAACTAATTCTTCTATCCCTCAGGAACAGTATTTGTTTCTGGATAAAAAGTACCCCATGTCTCTTCCCTGTACCCCTGGCAATGTATGTACCAAATTTCATGATAGGTTTTACCCACGGCTTCGCTCTCGTTGATGTCCCAAATTCGTATCAAAAATCATCGACGACTACATAAAGCTAATTTTTTCTATCCCTCGGGAACAGTATTTGTTTCTGTATAAAAAGCACCCTACGTCTCTTTCTGTACCCCTGGCAATGTATGTACCTTTTCATGATAGGGTTTCCCCGCGGCTTCGCTCACATTTATATCTTAAATATATGTCAAATCTTATCGACGACCTTATCAAACTAATTCTTCTATCCCTCAGGAACAGTATTTGTTTCTGGATAAAAAGTACCCCATGTCTCTTCCCTGTACCCCTGGCAATGTATGTACCAAATTTCATGATAGGTTTTACCCACGGCTTCGCTCTCGTTGATGTCCCAAATTCGTATCAAAAATCATCGACGACTACATAAAGCTAATTTTTTCTATCCCTCGGGAACAGTATTTGTTTCTGTATAAAAAGCACCCTACGTCTCTTTCTGTACCCCTGGCAATGTATGTACCTTTTCATGATAGGGTTTCCCCGCGGCTTCGCTCACATTTATATCTTAAATATATGTCAAATCTTATCGACGACCTTATCAAACTAATTCTTCTATCCCNCTTTCCGTTCCTTCAACGAATTTTATAGGAAAATAATCGATATCTGGATTATATAATAATTAAAAACATATTTCTTTCAACTTTTACAAATAACGGCGCACTATGTAAAGGTACCTATAGTACGTTATGCAAATTGGAGAAAGTAGTTCAACAAAAACACGATTTAAATTCCATTTGACGCCAATTCCAAGATTTCTAACCGATTAAGAATTCTTCAGTTACGTTAATGTCTTTTATAACACCGCTCTATTTTTACCAACTCGAATATTTTCAGAGCAAAAACAGGCAAAATTAATCCAAATTAAAATTAAACTAGCAAAGATCCGTCGGATTATAATTTTTAATACATTTTCACCCTCTTCTGCTAACAAAAAAGGGAATGTATATCATAAATACGTGTACAGTATGTCACAAATGTGGGGATTATTGAGTATAAAACGAAAACGTAAAACTTTTGTGAGAAAACAAAATGCAGATTAATATTTAAAGTATTCTTTAAATAAATATCGATGAAATAGGTCTTTAATAACGTTGTAATGTATGCAGATTTGTGTTTAAGCCCTTTTTCCCGTGCAGTCATAATTGGCACGCCTATCTCCTCTCCTAATACAATATTTTCGAACTACTTGACTGTTTTTAAACGTTAAGTAAGAAAGGTATCCGAGATGTTGTTACCATTTAATCAGTATTATCAATTAAAAATCGATAATTTTTACGTATTCGAGATAGAACTAAGCAGAAAATAAAAAACCTTCCTTTTTTGGCGTTTTTTTTGCACAATCTTCACTTGTTTTTGATACACCCGATGAATATAATAATTTGAACATTTTATTAACGTATATGGTTGATTTAAACAGTTTATTGGAGAAATTTGACTATATTTGTAGCTTCTATTCCTTTGAGGCCGTTGACATTTAATTCTACATAAAATCAATAAAACGATAGAATTCCTAAGTGAAAGAAAGTGACAAAGTAAAACTGAATTCATAGTGCGTTTTTCATTTTATTACGTAATAAAATTCCGTTATCCTTAGTCAATAAATTAATTAAAATTATTTATCCAAGTATGTATTTTAACTGTTGTCAGTTATTTAATCGTTTTTTATTGCATTGTTTATTGTAGAAGTCGTAAAAAAGAATTGTTTATTTTATATTCCCAATTTTTCAAGGATTAACCATTTGCAGATAGTTAACAATAAAACGAAAAGCGCGTCTAAACGCCATGTAAAATATCAAAAGTTCATGAATACCTATTTCCTGTTGTAACTAACCGGAACTTCCACGTGAAACATACATATGCAAAAAAGAAAGAAATTGCCGTCTGTAATGTACATAAAACAGTTAAATACGAAAAAGTCTTCGCTGAAGATATATTTTTTTGATTTATTGTAACAGTTGTCGAAAAGTTTGCGATTTGACCTCGTTTTAATATTATTACGGCTTCCGAAGTTCTGTTTTTTATTCATTAAATGCATTTCCTTGCTTCGATTATCTAAAATTTGATTAAACTGGGAAAATATCCACCTAATTTGATGATTATTTAAATCGTTAGAACCACAGTTGTAAAATTGGACTCTACTAGTCGAACCCATCCAATTTTTGACGGAAGGTGCCGGCGTCAGTTGCACCTAGCAATTATATTTTAATCACAATCAGTGTCAGACCCGATCTATGATCGAATATAAGCATTTGATCATTGTTTAGTTTCAACTGGAAGGCGTCAAAATTCAAAATTCATGATTTTTAATTAAAAAATCAGATTAATCGATGTCCTAATCATAATTCATAATCCCAGAAAGTTGTATCATCGTAGGAGATAGCTGCACCGATTTCTATGACAAACATGTACTATAATTTTCGAGATGTAAGCTGTAGTAGCGAAAAATTAAGAAAAATCTTAATTATTGAGTATTAGTAGGCAAATTGTTAATGCAAAATTCGAGTTAAATTCTCTCGAAAAATCATTTAATTAACTATTATTGGAAGGAGCTTTTGAGTTGAATCGTGTGTCTGATAAGGGATTTCGTCGGGTATATGAGGGTAATAATTATTGGAACGATATTAGGTTTGCGTAGAGGCTTCAGAATAATGAAAAGCTAACAAGATTATCTTTTTAATTCGCCCAGGCAGCAGCACAAGCAGCGGATCCATCGGCGGTACCACGACAACGGGTCGAAGACGTAAAACTGGCATCAGTGCACGAGAAAGAAATCTCCGAAGGCTCGAAAGCAACGAAAGAGAAAGAATGAGGATGCATTCACTCAACGATGCATTCGAGGTAAAAGGAAAAGTTTGTTTTATAAATAATTACTAATAATATTCAATTCTAAATGCGTAAATACCACCGAGACTGACAAGTAGGGACTTTCCCTTTTTAGCGTGTCTCACTTCCGGGTAATTTATTTCCAATATTTCTCTAAATTGTTGACACAAGCTGATAAAGGTTTTCCTATTAATTTTCCAGCAACTTAGGGAGGTAATTCCACACATAAAAATGGAAAGGAAGCTTTCCAAAATAGAAACGCTTACACTGGCGAAAAATTACATAATGGCCTTAACGAATGTCATATGTGAGATGAGAGGAGAAGAAAAACATTACACGTAAGTCTTATTCTCGCTTATTTCTGCTTTATTTCCTTTTTATTTCGCCGCGATAACTTAAACGATGTCGCGGCAACACTGCCACACGCGCGGCAAAGCTTAATCTACGCGCGCGGCGGCAAGGTATCTTTACGCGCGGTAAGATGGACGCTAGGTAATCACACACGTGCGCGCATGGTTTAATCGCGCGATAAATTCGTTTTGAGAACACTACTACACTTTAAATGGTCCGATTTTAATGAAATTTGCGACACAGGGGTTTCCAAGAATGAGGAATCGTTCTAGCTAGGTGTCACTTTTGTAGACGAACATTTTCTTATCGATTTTTGTAAAATTAATGTGTATTTTTGTTCGCACAACACTCAAGAACCACTGGCGATTCTGATGTGGTATTCAATGTTATTTAAAGTATTATCTTCGAATAGTTATGTCATTATATGCTACAATTTTGACTGTTGTTGATAATAATTTGGGAGGAATTGAGGGAACGGTGTGGTAATCAGGACCGGACTTGAGATTATTTATATTTCCCATTTCAGATTTCAGGATGATCCTGATGATAAATTTTGATTATTGTAAAGAACAATTTAGGCGGAATTGAGGGCACGGTGTGGTAACCAGGACCGGACTTGAGATTATTTGTATTTCCTATTTCAGATTTCAGGATGCGCCTGATGATAAAGACCAAGTGGAGTCGGAGACGACGATAAGCGAACCGAATAGCGAACAAAACAACAATTCGGTATTCCAGCAGAACCTCGAACTGTCGCAGGACAATCCGTACATGAACACGCGCTAACAGAGCAGCAGCGATTCTCTTCTCGGAAGTATAGATTTAAGTTTTTACATTAAAAACGAAGTCAGATAAGAGAATTTGAGACCTGATCGGTATATATTGTTTTTAATATATTTTAGTATATGCAATTTTATGCAAACGATGAGAAGGAAAAGGAAACTACCTAGCCGTTGTTAAAGCAACACTTAAACCTTTTTACAGAGGTATACATTATACTTTTTAAATAAATAAGGGACGACTGTAGATATCTGGATGATGAGACCATTGGTGGGAGGTGGTAGGGGGTGTAGAGACAGGTCTAATGACTCCATTTGTTACTTAAAGATTTGGGACTGGGAGGTAGTCGCTCAGAGGGAGGAACTGAATCATTGAATACTAGAATCGACCTTCTATAGAGTCATCTTCCTCCCCCCCCCATCAACTGATGGTCCTATCACCTGACATTTACCTTCGGTTATTACTGAAGAAAAATAAAGGTAAATGTCTAGGTGATAAGATCGTTAGTGGAAGGCAGAAGAGGGGGCAAAAGGAGATCAATGGTTGGATGACTCCTTTTTAAAAGTTAAAACATTGGGACGGGGAGGAGGTCAGTCAGGGGGATAATGGTGAAAAATTGAATACTAGAAAAGAAACCAATGTAATCTAACCTATATTTTGCTTTCCACGTCCTCCCCTTGTGCCTTTACCTTGCCGCCCTTACCTACAAAAACTTTGTTAGTGTTCTACAAAGTCATCCTCATCCTTCCCCCCCCTCCCCCCGACTGATGGCCCCATTATCTAGACATTTACTTTTGATTATTATTGCTGAAAAAAGTTAATGTAAATGTCTAGGTGATGAGATCATTAGTGGGAGGCAGTAGAGGGGGCAAAGAGAGATCAGAGATTGGATGACTCCTTTTTAAAAGTTAAAACATTGGGACGGGGAGGAGGTCTGTGGTGAAAAATTGAATACTGGAAAAGAAACCAATGTAATCTAACTGATATTCTACTTTCTATGTCCTCCCATTGTGTCTTTACCTCTCCATCCTTACCTACAAAAGCTTTGTTAGTGTTCTACAAAGTCATCCTCATCCTTCCCCCCCGACTGATGGCCCCATTATCTGGACATTTACTTTTGATTATTATTATTGCTGAAAAAAATTAAGGTAAATGTCTAGGTGATGAGATCGTTAGTGGGAGGCATTAGGGAGGGTAAAAAGAGATCAGAGGTTGGATGACTTTTTTTTGGTAGTTACAAAGTTGAGATGGGGAGAGGCCAGTCAGAGGAATGGTGGTGAAAATTAAATACTGGAAAAGAAGCTAACCAGTATCTAGTTTTTCACGTCCATCCCTTGTGCCTTTACTTCTCCGCCTTTACCTACAAATGCTTTTTTAGTGTACCACACACCTTCACCCTGACCTATGGTCCCATCATCTAGACATTTAATAGTCAGACACTAGGTACATGGGGCTGGGAAAGCCCAAAATATACAAAATATACTATTGCTATTAACTTCTGCCTTTTTCATGTATACTTGTCTCGTTCTAAAGTCTAAACATATGTAGATGTGTGTGTAATTTATAAATTAGGGTGAAATTCGATTCAATAGATTACACGCTACGTTGTGTCCAAAAACACAAAAGACATAGTGAATATGAACCAGACGAATGAAAACACTTTGTTCGATGAACCACCACACCACCAAAATTTTTGCAACGGTGCATATCTGAAAGTCATTTTTCTATTTAAAGATGTGAACTGTCTTGTCTTATCCAATTCGATTACCATAGCTAGTACTTAAACATATACAATTATACCCATATATACTAAATAAGAATTGCTTTAGAATAGGGAAAGAGAGTTTTAATATAATTAATTTTATTCGAGTGAACAAAAAGTCTGTCTGTTTGTTTGTTACGGGCGCTTGATATAAATATGTTTTTTATGTCTATAGGACAACTAAATAATCTATAAATAAATTATTTATTTTTCGATTTATTATATAAAACGATGAATGATGGTTGATTGGTGAACAACCTTCGTTATGTTTTTTTTTTTTTGAGCTTTTATTATGGTATAAATATCGCTGTTCTTACCAGAGAGACATCTTATGCTGTCTAAATTAACGAAAGACTGATTATTTAAGTTTATTTTTCGGCATCTTGCATCAGGAAATTTTTTTATCTACATCTACAGTGCACATTACTGTTCGAGGTGTGATTGCAGGGCTAAAACTGGGTGCAATCCCCAATTCTTATATCTATGACCCTTGTAGTATATTTTTAAGGTAACAAAGTACCTTTTTTATTTGCAATAAAATTCTTTTTCTCTAATGTACCACTTAACTTGGATTCTTGGGGGTGAGTCGGAAAAACAACTTTTTTCTTCGACTCGATGAATGATTGAATTGTCTTCAAAGATGAGCCCTTTTAATTCAGGGATTAAGGCGAGGCCCATTAATTTTCAATTTCCAAAGCTTATATAACAAAATAATTTTGAAAAGATTTAATATTTTCCCCTATTATTTGTCTTATCTTTGAAAATGTTTTTGAAGACTTATTAGGTATATATCTAAAAAGTTAAAATGAGAAAGTTTCTTCTCATCGTCACACCTTAACATGTGTACACTGTTTTTTTTGCCTACGTTTAGTATTAAACAAATTATAGTTTTTGATGCCTGTAATACCGATGTACTACGGTGAAATTTATTTTTTTAATTTTCTAATACAATTTAATTTCTTCATTCTACATAATAGTCAGATAGGCATTAGAATTCCACTTTGTTCTTAAATGATGCGCTTTGCAGTTTAGAATTTTATTAATTTATTGTCATACGTCTTCCAAATATTTTAGCATTCCATAGGTACGTGGACATACTTTTAAATAAACACCAGAAAAAACATAATTTCATGTCCATTATTTTATATAACTTATATATTAATAGATAAACTATTTTGTCTCTTATTACCCACATATTGTATGTACATAATGGATAGATAAATTTATATATAATTTATCGTATATTTGCCATATAGTAGTCGAAATAAAATTCAAATGGCAACTTTCAAGTATTAAAAAAAAACAAATAAGGTAAACAAACTATAAAATATTGTTATATTGCTATTTCTGTATAATATAAGGCAAATTACAAGTCTAAAGATTAGAACAGATGGATGTGCTTTTGATTTGTTTTGATTGCCTACAACGAATAGGAAAATAATTTGTACCACGTATTTAAAAGGCACAACAACCCCTATAGTTATTAAAGCTTGCCTTTAATTTTCATAAGAAAGCCAAAACCAAACCAGATCGTTTAACACGTCTAGGGGCTTGGCAAGACGGAACGACGCTCTTGCATGGGACGACGCTTCATTCGGATAGTCTCGTAACTTGTCGACCCCTTTCGTCCTGTCTCTAAGGCTTAGCACTCCCCCCTCTACTACCATATTGCTCACCGTTTTATTCGTGTGTGTCAGAGTGAATTTAAAAAGACAAGCGTCGTTTCAAGCAGAGTGCCGTTTTAGTTTTACATTTGCCAAACGTCCCTTATGTGTTTTTTGTTACCCCATTATGTCTAATAACAAATGAAATAAACAAAAACGCACACTTACTGAACGAAAGCCCAAATACAAAATTCTATTAAAACGTTCTACTCAATCTGTTATATCTTACTATTAACTAATAGATAATGCCAGTAGGTACATAGGAAGAGATTAGTATGCAAAATAGTGAAATAGTTTTTCTTTTCGTTTTTAGTTTACAATTACCCAATTAATTAAACAATGTACTTATTACAAATAATGATAACGAATCGAGTTACCTAATGGGAAATCCTTAGTAAATACTCATCTGCTCAATGTGTTTGCTTTTTTGAAAATTGATAGTGTTTAAATCTTATTTACCTAATTAAAATATTTAGTAAATAATATTGCGCATTGTGATAAGTCGTTTAACGGAACATTCCAAATTTGAAACTATACTATTTTATTTAATAAATGAATAAACAATTTATGCACTATTAATTTTTGGAATACAAATGATAAAGAGTTCCAAATACAAATGTGATATTGTAGAAAATGAGAATTTAGGTTGTATTAGAGTGGTAGTAAGACATACTTAAGTTTAAGATGTAGTTAGTTAGTCGTAAATTGAAATACTTATGTATATTAGATATATAATATATA